AAAACAACCAAGAAAAGTGCAGAATTCTATGAGAGCTTTAGAGAAGACCTAATCCAAATACTCCTCAAACTCTTTAATGTAATGGAAAGGGAAGGAATATACCCAAAGTCATTCCTGGAAGCTAGCATTACCCTGATTCCAAAACCTGAAAAAGACCTAAAAAAAAAGAATTACATGCCAATCTCTTTAATGAACATAGATGCAAAAATCCTCAATAAGATACTGATGAACAGAATGCAGCAAATCACCAAAAAGATCATACAACATGACCAAGTAGAGATTATTTTAGGGATGCAAGGATGGTTTAATATATACAAAATGTCATAATATATCACATAAACAGGAGAACACAAATCACATGATTATCTCAAAAGATGCAGAAAAAAACCTTTGACAAAATGCAACATCCATTCATGACAAAAACCCTGAAGGAACTAGGTACAGAAAGTCTTTATCTCAATCTGATAAAAGTCATCTATGGCAAACCAATAGCCAACATCTTACTAAATGGAGAGAAGCTGAAAACTTTCCCTCTAAAATCAGGAACAAGACAAGGATATGTACTTTCAGCACTCCTGTTGAATGTAGTTCTCAAAACATTACAGCAATTGGACAAAACAAAGAAATAAAAGGGATATGAGTAAGGAAGAAGTTAAATTATCATTATTTGCAGATGACGTGATCCTCTGTATAGGAAACCTCAAAAACTCCACCAAAAGACTCATAGAATTAATAACAAAATACAGTGTAGCAGAATACAAAGTCAACACTGAAAAATCTATAGTATTCCTGTTCCACAATAATAAACTGGCTGACAGAGAAATTAGGGAAACAATACCTTTTACAATAGCATCAAGAAGAAGGAAATACTTAGGAATTAACCTAAGGAAGTGAAAGACTCCTACAATGAAAACTACAGTACTCTGAAAAAGGAGACCAAAGAGGACATCAAAAAAATGGAAAAATAGGACCAGGGATATAGTTCAGTGGCACAAGTGCCTGCCTGGCAAACACAAGGTCCTGAGTTTGATTCCCAGTACCAAAAAAGAAAAAAGAAAAAGAAAATGGAAAAATATCCCCTGTTCCTGGATAGGCAAAACCAATATAGTTAAAAAGGCTGTACTTCCAACACTTATAGAGATTTAATGCAGACCCAATCAAAATACCAAGAGAATTCCTCACAGAACTAGAGAAAGCAATCCCACAATTTACGTGGTGTCAGAAGAGACATGGAAATGCAAAAGTAACTCAGAGTAACAAGGCTTGAAGTCACAATCTCAGACTTCAAGTTACGCTACAAGGTTACAGTGAAAAAAACTGCATGATATTAGCAAAACCAGAACTGTGGATCAATGGAACAAAATAGGAGACACAGAAACAACT